TGCTGGCACAGCTGTACTGGTGAGGAATCACACCTCTCCTCACACCACTGCACCTGAACAAGTCTTCAGCAAAGCCAGAAGTAAACAGCCTGAACTTCTAGAAACTGAAAAGCAATGGCAAAACAACAAAGAGCTTTACATGAAGGGGAGAGGAAGAGCTTCATACTGATCTCACCAGCACCACTACAAATAAATGGCACAATTACATCTTTCCTTCTCAAAAATAAAAAAACCCACACAACAGAGAAGATCATATAGTTCCTGTCTAATCCAAAATATCAATACTGAGGAGATTTTAAATGCAGTTAGCTTCTGGATAAAAAGATCTAAGTCATCCTGCAGGGTGGTTTGGGGATTTTAATTTTTTTAAAAATACAAGTAAACAACAAATGTAAACCAGCAAACTCTGACATATGGTATAGATGAGTGGTAAACGCAAACAACAGCTGAAGGATGTCTGCTAAAACAGTTCTGCTTTTGTACCAAGATGGTTTCACTTTGGGAATGCAGAACAATAGTTGCTACTCTTCACCCAGTCAAGAAAGGATGCACAAAGCCCAGCTGAGGGCACATGATCCACACTGAAATGGCAAAGCCTGGGTGTTTCTGATGGCCTGTTCACACACCATGTGGCACAGCACACGCTGAGCACCACTCCCACCCTGCTGCTCTCTAACACACTGTGGTGTCTGCTGGCTCTGTCAGTCTGCATCTCTCACTTAGGACAGAAATAAATGGCCAAAGTGAATGCTATTTCAGGCACTGTTTGCTTGCAAGTCAAACAAACACAGTTCCTTCTTAACGTTCTAGTACATTTAGTACATTTAAAAATGATGTTTAGTACTTCAGTAGGTACATATAGCATCATTCTTCTGCAATGTTAATGGAATCCTTAAGCCTTAAAGCCTAATAAGGAGCTTTTAGGAGAAAAAGATTGTCTCCTAATATATTAGAAAATCAGCCTACTAAACAGTAAAACTCAGGAAACAACAGCCTATGTATTCTCCACTTCTAGCCCACCTCTGTAATTCCTCTCTCTGACTGCCACCAGATGCACAGTATGGATTCACTGGACTGGGAATAACTTGCAGGATTTATTCACGTAACAGGACATTACTGAGCTCTACAGAAAAGCTGTAGTTCTAATCTGATTAAATGTGAGAAGCAGGAAAAAAAATAGCAGAATTTAAAACCAGCATGCAACAGTTGGTTCTGATTTTACCTGCAAAACACTTGAAAAAACAATTGGTAACAAGGGACTCCTTGTACCAGCTGCTCTCGAGTTTGTTTTTAAACTATACACTTGTTTGTTTATGAGTAACCCCATCATATGCTTGCTAATTCAGGATTATTTTTTCCTTTGCTGGTGAAAAATAAACTCTCTCATCAAATGCTTCCCATTGGCTAACTTCAAGTAAATTTGAAATTTGTAAGGTTAGCATCTAACATGCATTAACAGCTTATAATGCCTCAACAAAACTACAGTGACAGCCACAAACACCTGAATTTAAAAGGTTTCTTTAAGCCTCTATCACATGGCTCGACCTGGCTTTATTCTCTCTTAGGTTTAAGCACAAGATAGGAAGTTTGAGTTCTGTTTAAAATGCCAATTTCAAGACGTGGTTTCCCTGTCGCAAAGGCTTCAGCCCCAGAATGATGAGTATTTCACAGCCTCTAGTGGCTTCAGCTCGAATAGCAACGTGGTGTTTAATCCCATTTTGAAGTGTTTTTAGGATCTGTACCGTAAGCAACCTGAAACATTAGAATTCTTACTTCCTGAAGAGTGATTAATAACACAGGTCATGAGTTAGAGGGATAACATGTAGAGGAGGAGGAGCACAGAGTTTGGCACTTTTTCCACTGGTGTGTGAGCAAGTGGGTCTAAAGGCAAGTGAGCACACAGCTTGGCACTGCAGCCACACACCTGAGTGCTGCCAGGCAGGGAGAGCCAAGGGGTTAACAGGAGCTGTGTCTGCAAACCCCAGGTGGCTGCTGGGTACACTGACCAAACCTATACTAAGAAAAAACCTCAAACTTAGTGATTCTTTCAAGCTACAAATGCCAGGGGAGTGTCAAACACTCTGGAAAACAAAACTCCAGCATACCTGCCACAGTGGAGGGTGCCCAGGAAGAAACACATTGCTGGTTTTACCAAGGCTGCTGAACTAAAGGTTTACCCAACCACTCTGAATTTTTGAGCTGTTGTCAAGTACAAATTCACCGTTTTATCACGTTTTCCTCTCACACTCTGGTCTAAGAAGTGATCAGTAGTACATTATACCCTAGATTCCAAGAAACACATTATATTCCAGATTCCTGGAAGTTTATGCAGATGTTCAGCACAAGATTTCCTGCATTCCTTCCAGCTGGGACTGTGAGTTTCCACCACTCTGATGCATTCACACATGCAACTAGCTTACACAGTCAGACATCTGACACCAGAAAATTAATTTTCATTACAGCATTTCATTGGAGTTTTCATTAAAATTACATAGGGAAGTTACAAGAATAGGGTGGTTATAAAGGAATGTATTGCTATCATAGGCTATTTTGTATAACTAATCTTTGCATCCCTCTGAAAAAGTAGAAAAATCAAGAGTTTGCATTAAACTTGCCATTGAATTTTACTTCAAAGTGCTAAAAGGACCTAGGAGGAAATTCCATTCTCCCCCATAACAGTAAGAGGCAGCAGCAAAAGGAAAGAACACAGGTTGTATCTCGACACTAAACACCCATTAACTAACATTCTCTCTCAATAACACCCCTGAATACCAAGAAAAATCAATACCTACCAGTGTTTCAAATAAGCAGAATTTCTCTGTATTAGCTGAAAAATGAAAATGATCAATACATTCTGCAGAGAAAAAAACTGCAATTAGGAAAGGATGAAGTAGTTACCTATGGCCTCGAATATCAGACTGATCACAGACTCCTCCTAAAGCAATTCTGTGGAATTCTCGACCCAAAGTCTTGGCAATTGATCTTCCAACACTAGTTTTACCAACTCCTGGGGGCCCCACAAAACAGAGAATGGGACCCTTGAGGTTGTTTTTAAGCTGTCGGACAGCTAAGTACTCCAAAACTCTCTTCTTCAACTTCTCCATAGCATAATGATCATTATCCAAGACAATCCGAGCCGCGCGGATTTCGAGACGATCTGCCATGGACAACAGAAAAGCCATCAGCACATGTACCTTCAGAAATGGGAACAGTTCACTCTGCATCAGAAAAAAAGACATTCTCAAACACATTCATTAGTGCCATTTCCAAAACAAAGGTATTACAATTCTCCTCTAATAAGGAAATTAGGCATAAGTTAGATCACAGTACTGATAATGAGATTTAAACAAAAAAATCATCTTCTCACTCTGTCACAGATTGAAATCTGGTTCGAATGAACTTAGTGTCTATTCTAGAACAGCAATTCAATGATAAGCAATTTTTTCAGCATTTACTTTCTCACTGAAGTTAGTCTGTAATGTCTTCAGACCTGTAAGGTCTTCTCAAAGAAAAAATCATCCCTAGGTTTTCATCATCAGACTCAATGATAAGAGTCTAGAACTATCTCACAAACACAGCAGGATCTTACCAGCTCATGCAACACTTGCAGTGATTTGGCACTGCAAAAATACCCACGTGACACTAGGATTGGAAAAACTATTTTTTCTGCAATTGCCATAACTTGAGATAAATGGTCAGGCATCACTGATGGACATGAACTAATACTCCACACAGAGGAGGAACTTCCGGCAGCAAACACCAGTCTCCTTTGCTATACAGCACAAAGAGAGTAGGCAGGAAGCAGTGAAATCTCTCATCTCTGCACACACCCACCCTTCAGATTCTCTCCATTCCAGATGCAGAAGTCTCACACTGCTAAGTCTGCATATTTACATACAGACAACTGTGATTAAATTCTCATCATCAACCACGTAAATCTTTGCAATGAACCACTGAACAAAAAAAAAAAGCACTAAATATCATGATTTTCTAATTTTTAAAATATATTTATGCATATTTTTATTCCTTGTAGCCACAGAGTTCAAAATATCAATCACAGGAATCACAAACTTTGCTTAAAGTAAAAACTTCAAACTGCACCTGAGGTGGCGTAACTTTGAATGATCAAAGAGCAACTTTCACCAAAAAAAACATTCTGGTAGGACATGAGTGTCAACAAATAGCTTACATTCTGGGATTCTTTGAGTAACACTGTGCAGTATCTGCAGGCAGATCTTTTTACAATGTAATCATTAAATCAAATATTTACAAGAAGCTTTGTAAACAGCCAAGGCTCTAGTTCAAAACAGGAAAAAATCATCACTACACATACTAGCAGAGAGCAAAAGACAGACATTGCTGCAGGTGTGGTATGTCCACCTCCTGGGAAGTCACTCTGCCCACTGAATCTGCTTGTGTTGGTTGGCAGGAAATGTTTGTTGGTCATGTTTGGTTTTCTGCTCTTGCCTCACTCTCCATTTTTGCATACTGTTGCTGTATTAACAGCATCACTCTCTACTCACAACTTCTGAAAACTGTGGTACCAAGCAGAGATGATCCTCAGTTTTTCTAGTGCACCTCAAGTTGTGACTATTAAAATTAACTACAATTGTGTTTTTTCATCCTTTTGTTCCTTACCAAACCTTATTAAGATAAACCAGAACCTTCTTCAGGAAGATCAATGCTACAAAGATGTCCTTTTTCTTTTGTCCAACACACAAGAAGCAATTAGATGTTCATTTCTTCATTATTTTTGATACATGCTAGCAAGAATTATAAGTAATAACATCTTCATTTTTCTGTGAAACTATTCCCAATACTTTTTTAATTCATGCTATTGGATGTACAATTGAGCTAGCCTGAGGTTATTCAGGATACAGATCTCACTGAAGTTTAATGGTCTACCTGGCTCAAAGTAACATATTAATGGTGTTTTTCCAAGACAGAGCTAAGCACAGTGTTCACATGAAGGTTACTTGTCCTAAAGTGCCTGTGCAAGAGACAATCACCAATAACAGAAGGGTTTACCTTTCGTACTCTTGTTCCATGGCAATTCTACCATCAGTTCCAAGTAATTTCTTGTCAGAGCATATTCTGGCATTGACTGAGGCATCTTCTTTAACCTGGAAATATATGTACTGAATTCATAAGGCTAGCCAAAAAAACTGCACAGTAAGACTCTCCTGCACCACAAAACAGCTATTAAGCAAACCTGAGGCCCTCAGCAAACCCTTGTACCTTCTGACAACCATAACACTGAAAAAGCAAGTCACTACTCCACCAAATAGGACACTCCATATATGCATCCTCACTGAAAAGGAGTTTGTTAACCACCATATCACCATGGAGAGAGCAGTTATCCTCTCAGCAAAAACAGAGGGGAAAAAAACCTCAATAACGAGGTCAGTTTATTCATTAATCATTAACAATTGTGGTGTTGGCTTTTTTTTAAGACCTTTACTTCATAAGAAGCTTAGAGTTTCAAGCTCTACTAATGTATAAATCATATCTAGAAGACTTCATATTTCTTTGTCATCTCATGTTCAAAAAAAGAAATGATTAAATTTATAAGCAAAACCCAGCAATCTACTAAACTTTTTCAAATCATTTCCAAAACACAACCAACACAAACATGTATAAAACAGGAAAAGGTTTGCAAGATTTGTTTTAAAGTATCAAATAAGAGAAGAAACCACCATTTAAAAGACTCCCACCTTTTTATTTCCTTAAGACAAACTTTAAGAGCTTGTTCTGACATGCTGGATGTCCTAATCTTTTTTTCTAGCATGACAACATCATCATGATCTTCTTCTTCCTCCTCATCTTCTGCAGTGTTTGCAACATGATTGATTCTTCGACTAGGACGAATAGCTACAACCTAGGAAATGGAAAACAGAACCAGAGAACAGCATCAGGCTTTGTTTTTTAAATAAGAGGTGTTGTTTGGCTTCGAGTGGAAACCATGACAAAAACGTGTGAGGTGCACAGAAAAATGCAGATTTTAATTCCATAAGTAACTCCACAATGTGTTACTGGAGCTACTTTTAAAAGGTGCAGTTCTTACTTCAGTGTGTGTATTTCCTAAGTGTGTTGTCATCTACCCTCAACTAGCAAACAACAGAAGCCAAGAACAAAACTGAAAGCTGCTGTTTGTAATTTTTCAGGCATGGCAGCCCACTGTAGCAGAATAAACCCAATCCTTACAAAACCATGAAGTCTTTGCTCTTCTTTTTCATTTCTCAATTACTTCCCATTTACTAAATTGCATAAGTGCAGTTAGATGCAGAAGAAATATAAGCAGCTCTAGCTGAGCAAGCTGCATTTTACACCACACATTCTTTATCTGTATGTCCAAAGCTACTAGTCACCTGCAATGCCATTAGTAACAGGTACAATCTTCACTGCACAGGCCAAATCTCAATGTGTGCATAGCACACAGAAAAACTCACTCCTTAGAGGAATCTGAGCATTCATCTAACATCACAAAGTGCTCAGATTAAAATAAATAAATAATACAAAGCCTAGGCAGTGTTCAACAAATATTTTCTCTTTTAGGTATCTACACAGCCAAAGTTGCCAGCTGAGTATTCTCTGCAGCTCCAGACTGACTATCAAATGTTATGGCTATACATTAAAACTTGGCACAGACTAAAATCATGTGTCTTCACTAGCCAGTTTGAGAAGTTCATCTTTATATTTATCTAGGATGTTTAAGTATCCCAAATTTAAAGGTTCATACCCGTTTATCATCATCCTGTTTGGGCTTTCTTGTTTTCTGAAGCAGCTTCAGGCCTTCAATCTGTCTAACCAGCAATGGTATAGTCATCTTGAACCGTTCTTCCAGCCTCACAGCATCTAGAATCTAAGAGCAAGGAGTTGTCAGCAGCCAACAAGTTCACACTGATGGATCATCAGTTTGGGGGAAGGGAACATGGAGGTACTGTTACTGGTTTTTGACCAGTTAGAGGAAAGATGGATTAGGAAAAAAGGTAGCAAGAAAAGCAATCAGAATCCTGTACACAACATCTAGTCTCAAGGGTCTGGATACCTAAACTACAAAGCACTCCAAGCTATAAAAAAAAATATTTTCCCTGTCTGTTTTTAAGCATCTTAGTATTTCAGTTGCATTTTCTGTGGCAAACATCTATTGGTGTTCTATTTTTCAACTACTGAGCCTCAGGAAAGAGTTGGACCTCTAAGAAAGTTATAGCATGATCTTCTTGGCTAACCTAGGAAAAAAAAAATCACCTTATGCCTTTAGATTTTTTGCTTAGAGATTTTTTGTCTTTTTTTAAAATTTTATACACCATTTCATTTTCATGTGAAATGAAGTTGCCATGTGGAAATGGGGAGAATTCTGTTCTCTATTTTCACAGCTTCCACTGGCTGCTCTTCTCCTTAGAGCTTCTAACAGGAAAAATGGACATGCTAAATCTAATGACCAATGAACTTTCCTCCAGCAGGATGTTCAGCTGTAGTACACACCTTCCCTCAAGTTATTGCACTAATTTCTATTTAACAAAAGAAAAGGAACACCAAAACTTCCAAACACAGCAAGCAAATACAGAAATCAGAGTAGTAAGCATCAAACCATAAGGATGGTGTTCCATAAAGTTGCTTTGACATATGATGGAAACTTAACCAGTGTCTCAGTATTTGAAGAAACTCAGACTTCAAAAGGTTTTCTAGAAGATTTAAAAACAAATTGTTCTGAAGCTGTTAGTATTAAGATACATATGATCTGTTAAATGTGGTAGGTCAGCAAGGTTTCAACACAATTGAAGAAAGAGTTATCATCTCTCCCACGAAAAAGGGAAGACCATGCTGTATTTATTGTTTACTAAAATGAACTATTTCCAAGGCTAACTAGATTAATTTACCTGCAAGGTGAGTTCTGACACATACATATATAAACACCTTTAAACAACAGCATAAATACTTTTTACAAGCATTCACTCTGAGTTGTAACACAAGCACCTGCTGGCACAACATTATCACTGTCCAGTCTCAAGTGTAAGCAATTCCAGAATCATCTCAAAGTGACTGGCCATAAAAAAAGGCAGCAAACACCTAACTCCACTTAAAACAAAAGGTTAAGAAGATAATACCTGAAGCTTCTCTTGGTTGGATGTGCGGATGATAGAAGTGAGAATATCTGGCAAAGCTTCTCTAGGCAGATTGTCCAGGAGACGTCTCAGCTTTGCGACCGCAGGCACTGACATATCCAACATCTCAACCAACTAAGAAACACACAATGAACAACATGAGTGGTTTGCTAGGTTTCTTTTTGAATTACCAAAGGGAACATCTGACTAAACAGGACTGTACTTTTCAGTATGCAACATGTCTAGGTAGTTTGCCAAAAAGCTAGTGAAGTAACTTCACAACAACTTCATAGAAGAGGAACTAACTCAGCACAGGACATCAAGACTCTGGGCTTCCTGCTTGTCTGAGAAGTTACAAAATAGTATAGTTTGAGGTGTTTTTTCAATATTTCCCATGTCCTCTGATTAAAAACTTCCCCAATTATCTTAACACTATGATGACTCTTTTTACCCATGTCATCTGATTAAAAACTTCCCCGGTTATCTTAACACTATGATGACTCTTTTTCTCTACATCCTTTAAACTCCAACTCATTGTACCTAGAGCGTTTATAACCAAGAGGGTTTTATTTCTTCCTTAATAAAAAGGCCAAACTCACTAAAAAAAAAAAATCCCTTGTATGTATTTTCATGTATATACTAAAAAATTATGCACAAAATCTGATTAAAAACTTCCCCGGTTATCTTAACACTATGATGACTCTTTTTCTCTACATCCTTTAAACTCCAACTCATTGTACCTAGAGCGTTTATAACCAAGAGGGTTTTATTTCTTCCTTAATAAAAAGGCCAAACTCACTAAAAAAAAAAAATCCCTTGTATGTATTTTCATGTATATACTAAAAAATTATGCACAAATTAATTAAAGGTATTCCTTTTCCTTTTACTAGAGTGTATTTATAGTATTGCTATATGTGAAACACCAACTTAGCCCAGCACTAACATACACAGACTCATCCTGAAATGAGCTGTAGAGTCACACTGGAACTCAGCACAGAAACCTTAAGCTAGGACAAAAACATTTATTTTGCAGCAGAAATACCAAAACCCTACTAGTCACTGAACAATATAAGAACTAGAGGAAGGCAGATGTCGTGGTTTA